TACACACTCATAAAGGCTTCCTAGGTGGCTCAGTGGTAAAGAATCTGCCTGCCAATGCAGGAGACTCAGGCTCGATCCCTGGTCTGAGAAGATTCCACAGAGAAGGAAACAGCAACTCACTCCAATATCCTTGCCTGGAAACTCCATAGATAGAGGAGCCTGGTGGGCTACTGCCCATGGGGTCGAAGAGAGTCAGATATGACTTAGTGACGGAACACCCCCCACACTCACAAACATAAACTGAAGCAGGCAACTGCAAGGTTTCATGAAGTAATATTACTTTACCACAAGCTATGCACTGTTATTTTCTATTTTGTTTTATATTTATTGATTTAAAATTTCTTTTAAAGAATTTTTAAAGATTATTTTAAAAGTCTTGAATTTGTTACAACATTGCTTGTTATGTGCTTTTTGGCCTCTCGAGTCATGTGGAACCTTAGCTCTCTGGTCAGGGATCAAACTTGTATCCACTGCACCGAAAGGCCAAGTATTAACCACTGAACAACTAGGGAAGTCCCTTGTTTTATTTTTTAAATGCTGGTCAACACACATTTCATTGATTTCAAACCCACGGTGTGAAAAATGGTGGAGCAAATGAGCTCCTGGGTGCCTATCCTCGACAGTACACTGATGGGTCTAACAACTAGGAAGTAGGTCCCTGTCAGTCTATGACTTGGCCTCCGGGTAGGATGGGTATGACTAAAGGCAGGTGCATCTGCAAGTTTTTATTTTTGCTTTTTAAGCCAGCTGGTTCTGCACTGAGATATTCTTAGTCAATCTATCAGGCACAAAGAAGAATGGTCCAAGATGTGGACTCATACCACTGGGTAATAGTTAACACACTGGTAACAGAGTTAACTTCCATCTACTCTCATGCGCGGTGCCTTCAGGCAAATGTGCTGGGAGGTGGGTTACCAGGAAATGTCCTTACTGGATTCTGCTTTTTGGAGAAGAGAGAGGAGACAGTAGTGGGAGCCAACAGGCTGTTGGAAGTGTTAGGCCTGAACTAATATTTCCAACTCCTTCAACACGGTAGAAGTGGCAGTGAGGGGGTTTACTAGGGAAAGAAATATCAACATGCAAACTTTGATCTAAAGGGGTACTTTATAGCCCTTTCATCCTTTTGATGAATAATTTTAACTGTTTGACTTTCAAATCAGTGAATAAAACATGAAACTTTAATGTCCAGTATCTTCCACCTTTGGGCTCTGAAAACCTCCCCCTTCCTCGTGAGTAGTAAGGGCCTCAAATTAACCTCTTAACAAGTTGAGCCACCAAGCATTTCATTTTGATGACGATTTGAATTCCAAATTCAGTACAAAGCTCTGAATTTTCTCCAGCTAAGGGGAGGCCTAAAGCTCCAGTGTGTGGGGTGGAGGTGTGAGGAGTCAGGTGGTCTCTCCCTCCTCCCCTTACCTTCCCAGGCCCCTGCCTCACCTCTTCTTGAGCTTCCTTTCTTGGTTGGTTCCTTTCATGACTACTGACAGTGAACCTGAGAGCAGGTTCTGCTCAAATGACATCTTTCCAATAAGCTCTGCATCAAATGGGGCTCAGAAGTTTCAAAAAGGGTTCCCAAATGGACCACCCCACCTTGGTGGCCAGAGGCTTATCCTTTGGGATCACTCCTGGGATCCACTCATAGGATGTGGGGGCGGCTCTCCTGCAGGGCACTAGCCAGAAGACTTAAGTCCCAAGCTGCCTTTCTTTTGGTCACACTGGATTTTCATTGCAATGTGAGGGCCTTCTCTAGTTGCACCATGCAGGCTTCTCCAGCTATGGTGCTCAGGGTCAGTTGCCCCACAGATGTGGGATCCTAGTTCCCTGACAAGGGACTGAAACCCATATCCCTTGAATTGAAAGGCAGATTCTTAACCACTGGATCACCAGAGAAGTCTTCCAAGGCACAACAGATTCATGTGCATTGACCATGGAGTCCAAGAAATTCACATCCCTGTCCCACCCAGTTTGCATCTCTCCTTTCCTCTTCCTCTCCCCACTCCTCTTAGCTTTGCAGAGTCTGGGTGTGGGGAGCTCTTTCTGGCACAGCCCGTGGCTCACCAACATTCAGACAAAAGATGAGCTCCAAGGGCAACTCTGCTCTCTGAATGATGTTCTCTCCCGCTCTCGGTCCTCTTTTTACAGGGATGGGTGTGAGCGATCAGGACCATTTGAAAGTTGCTTCTGTTGAATGGCAACTTTTGAAAAAAGTCTTACAGAAAAATGCGTGTCAGAGAGCTGCAGTTCTCTGTTCACAGAAAAGTGGAGATTTTATACACCTGTTTAGCTGTGGACTCTTCTCACTCTTAGAAAACAGGAAGGACTCCACTTGGCAAATCATACCATGTTAGGTTTCTACTGAGTCACATGGCAGGTTCTGGGCCAGGCACTGTGAACACAGCAATAGATACAGCTATGGTCCCTGCCCTCAAGGAACTCACAATCTAATGCCATGTAACACACATACACACATACCCGACACGTGCATTTATGTAGTTCAGCTGTAACAAGTACACTGAAAGAAACACAGTGCCATGGCACTGGACACAGACGGGACTGTCCGGAAAGGGTTCTCTGAGCAATTAACAGAGACCCATCACCTCATGGGAGATAGATGGGGAAACAGTGGAAACAGTGTCAGACTTTATTTTTCTGGGCTCCAAAATCACCGCAGATGGTATTTGCAGCCATGAAATTAAAAGACTCTTACTCCTTGGAAGGAAAGTTATGACCAACCTAGACAGCATATTAAAAAGCAGAGACATTACTTTGCCAACAAAGGTCCGTCTGGTCAAGGCTATGGTTTTTCCAGTGGTCACGTATGCATGTGAGAGTTGGACTGTGAAGAAAGCTGAGCGCCAAAAAATTGATGCTTTTGAACTGTGGTGTTGGAGAAGACTCTTGAGGGTCCCTTGGACTGCAAGGAGAACCAACCAGTCCATCCTGAAGGAGATCAGTCCTGGGTGTTCACTGGAAGGACTGATGCTGAAGCTGAAACTCCAATACTTTGGCCACCTCATGCGAAGAGTTGACTCACTGGAAAAGACCCTGATGCTTGGAGGGATTGGGGGCAGGAGGAGAAGGGGACAGCAGAGGATGAGATGGCTGGATGGCATCACTGACTCGATGGACATGAGTTTGAGTAAACTCCGTGAGTTTGTGATGGACAGGGAGGCCTGGCGTGCTGCAATTCATGGGGTCCCAAAGAGTCGGACACGACTGAGCGACTGAACTGAAGGACAAAGATAACTAGGTGAAGTGAATGGTAAGGGTGCTTCAGGCAGAAGGAAATGTACCAGAGGTGAAAAGAAGCTTGATTCTCTGGACAAAGGAAGGGCCAGTCAACTGGGTACAAGACATGGGACCAGAGAGGTGGGTGGAAACCAATTTATATATAAGGAATTCAAGCTGAGAATGTTCCAGGCACACTCTCATACTTGGCATTCCCTTCCAATAGGAATCTTCAGTAACAGAACAATGCTAAGGCCAACAGTCTTGATTTCAACAGCATCAGGGAAGCCTCTGAAGGAATTTAAAACATCATGTCATGATCAAATTTTCATTTTAAAGAGGCAATTATAGGTACCCAGCCAAGAAGGTAACAGAGGCAGACATAGTGGATGGGGAAGGCACTGTGACATATGCTGGCTTCCTTTTCAAAGGCTCATTTACTAATCTACACTCAAGCAAAGCAGGTAGGATTAATATCTATTACCTCAGTTTCTCAGTTTTTTTGTTCTAGATTCATACCCCTACCCTACCACTTACTAGCTTTGTGTGCTGAAGATCTTCTGTGAGCTTCCTCAGGTTCTTCAAATATGAAACGTGGAGAACTCTTTTACTTTGAAGATTTGAATTTGGATGAAACTGGAGCTTTGGTATATGTACATTCAACACATACTAACTCATCTCAAGCAAATAATCCTGACAACTTTAAAAAAAGAAAGTCCTCTTCTAGCCTATTAGAACTAATTACTTACACAAAGTTCTAGATATATAAGCCATGCAAGACTGCTTAAAATGCATTTACTAAAATGTGGCAAATTTTATAGTATTAGTTTTACAGGAACCAGTGAATGATAAAAAATGGGGAAGATTTATGTCTAGACATAATTCTATACATTATGTAGTAGACATTTTAATTAGATGCCCATGATGCCCTCCCCATATAAAGGGTTGTTTATATTCCCAATGACACAACTTCCCAGAAATCTAGTCTATCAGTCTAACTTTGAGAATGTCTGCCTTCCCAGAGGCTCTAAACCTCTGTACTAAAAACACTGCAGTAGCTAGAAAGGTGTCAGCAATGTACCCCTGCATCTCAGTCTGATGCCGCTGACAGACCCTGAGGGCAGACCACAGGTGGTTATGGCATCCCTTTCTGTGGAACTCTGGGGCTGGGGGCTTCCCTGATAGCCCAGTTGGTGAAGAATCTGCCTGCAATGCAGGAGACCTTGGTTCAATTCCTGGGTCAGGAAGATCCACTGGAGAAGGGATAGGCTACCCACTCCAGTATTCCTGGGCTTCCCTTGTGGCTCAACTGGTAAAAGAATCTGCCTGTAATGTGGGAGATGGGTTTGATCCCTGGGTTGGGAAGATCCCCTGAAGAAGTGAAAGGCTACCCACTCCAGTATTCTGATCTGGAGAATTCCACGGACTATACAGTCCATGGCGTTGCAGAGTCGGACACGACTGAGTGACTTTCACTTTCTTTTCTGTGGAACCCAGCTGTGGCCTCTAAAGTCTTCTCAGCAAAGTGTTCCAGGCGGTACCCCCACTGACCCTAAGATATTCCTGGTCCAAAGATACTCAAAGTGGGGGAAAAAAGCAAGCAATGGGAATCTAAGTAATATGTCTGGAATTTCATTTACAAACAGACTGGCAGAAAATGAAGATGAATTTCTCACCACATTGGAACTGTCCTCTATAGCTTCCCACTTTTCAGCATCACTATCCATCTCCTCATAACCTCATGAAAAATAAAAATACAGTAATAGTCCAAATGCATAAAATAAGGTGTCATCAGCTTACTTTACTCCATTTCAATTATGTGAATTGTTTCAACATATATTACATTAGGGCATTCATTACAATACAAACCCCCTTCAACCAATTTAAGTATAAGGAACTCCAGTGGAGAATGTTCCAGGCACACACTCTCGTACTTGGCGTTTCCTCCCAACAGAAATCTTCACACGTTTTGAATATGGAAGAAGAAAACAAAGGTTTTTGATGTCTCTATTACTCTTGTTCATGCTGAATGAAAAACCTGTGTAGTAAAAGACTCTTAACAGGTAATGGTGAAAATCAACCCTTTGGTGAGGATTAACTGTAAATATGAATGCAGTGTTATAAGGAAGCAATTTTTAGGGGGAAAAAACTCTGCATGAAGTATAACACAAGAATCTTGCTGCCTCAATAAACAATTTGGAAGAAGTCAGTTTAATAATAGTACAGACAAATGTGTGGCACCTTTATAGTTGGTTGGTTATTCAGAGAAGCTCAGAATGTATTCTATGAGGCACAGCAAAATATCTGAATTTGGCATGGCAGAGCTAAGAGTTAACTTTCTGTTTTAACTTTGGATGATATAATCACGGGCTGGGATCTACATGGGATCTGGTGGAGGCCAGTCTTACCATCAAAATCGGATTTCCAGAGCATGAATCCAAGTGAGAGCTTTGTGAGGATGTGGATACAGTCCACAAATGATGCCTTTTACTGAGGGCTAAAAACACATGCAGTCACTTCGAGAAGGGTTTTACTGTCTACTTTTAGTCTCTTGATTTTACTTCTCTTATTTTCAAATTTAAAGACATAACTACAAATAGGAAAAATCTTTCATGATGGAAAGCAAGCTATAGAATGCTCCTTTTAATCAGGGTAGGAAGGGCTGAGTGACAAGTCCAGTTAGGATGTTTATTAAAACTCTATTTTAAAATATTAACTATATTCTTTTCAGACACTACTTCTACATTTTGAGAATAAGAAATAATAATGCCTAAATGTTGCTTTGGTCATCAAAAGTAATCATATACACACACACACACACAAAATGCATACAATACAAACTATAAACACACACATAAAATTTCATCTTTACCATGACTCCAAAGCAGCAGACAACTGAGGCAAACTGGAGTGTGGAAAGGTCCAGTGAGTGCCACTGCTGGGTGTATACCCTGAGGAAACCAGAGGTTTGTTTTTTTTAAAATTATTTATTTTACAACATTGTATTGGTTTTGCCATCCACTGACTTGAATCCGCCATGGGTGTACATGTATTCCCCATCCTGAACCCCCCTCCCACCTCTCTCCCCATCCCATCCCTCAGGGTCATCCCAGAGCACCAGCCCTGAGCACCCTGTCTCATGCATCAAACCTGGACTGGTGATTCGTTTCACATATGATAATTTACATGTTTCAATGCCATTCTCCCATATCATCCCAGCCTCTCCCTCTCCCACAGAGTCCAAAAGACTGTTCAATACATCTGTGTCTCTTTTGCTGTCTCGCATACAGGGTTATCGTTACCATCTTTCTAAATTCCATATATATGTGTTAGTATACTGTATTGGTGCTTTTCTTTCTGGTTTACTTCACTCTGCATAATAGGCCCCAGTTTCATCCACCTCATTAGAACTGATTCAAATGCATTCTTTTTAATGGCTGAGTAATATTCCATTGTGTATATGTGCCACAGCTTTTTTATCCATTCGTCTGCCGATGGACATCTAGGTTGCTTCCATGTCCTGGCTATTGTAAACAGTGCTGCGATGAACATTGGGGTACACGTGTCTCTTTCAATTCTGGAGGAAACCAGACTTTAGAGAGACACATGTACCCCAGTGTTCACTGCAGCACTACTTACAATAGCTGGGACATGGAAGCAACCTGGATGTCCGCTGGCAGATGAGTGGATAGGTTGTGGTACATACACATAATGCAACATTACTCAAGTTACAAAAAGGAACACATGAGTCAGTTCTAATGCGGTAGATGAACATGAAGCCTATTATACAGAGTGAAGTAGGTCAGAAAGAGAAAGAGAAATACTATTAATGTATATATACGGAATTTAGAAAGATGGTACTGATGATCCTACATGCAGGGCAATAAAGGAGAGACAGATGTAGAGAACAGACTTTTGGACTTAGTGGGAGAAGGCAAGGGTGGGATGAGAGAATAGCATTGAAACATGTACATTAACATATGTAAAATACATGACTAGTCCAAGTTCAATGCATGAAGCAGGGTACCCAAAGCTGGTGGTCTGGGACAACCCAGAGGGACGGAGTGGGGAGGGAACTGGAAGGGGTTAAGGATAGCGGGGAGGTGACACATGTATACCTATGACCAATTCATGTTGATGTATGGCAAAAAGCATCACAATATTATAAAATAATTATCCTCCTATAATTTTTTAAAAGTGATCTGGAAGTAGACAGAGACAATGGGTGTATGAATTTATGAATATACTAAAAACCACTTCACTGTACACTTTAAAATGGTGGATTTTATGGCATATGAATTTTTTTCAATAAATATATTTTAGAAGTAAAAAAAAGAAAAGGTCTGGTGAGTTGCCCAATTCCACCAGAAAAGACATAAAGCCAGCAAGGGATGCACCCTCATCTGCCTGCTTGCTGAGGCCTTTTTCTCACTCTGCTTTTAGCACTGTTATTACACTTCCTTTTCTTTATATTTTACAAAACTTTAAAGCTATGCGATGTCAGAAACTCTGGAAATATGTCTAACAGTCTACAGATTAGAGAACTTTAAATGCATAGACATGGGAATAACATTTTAATTGCTTATTTGAAACAGCAATTATCTTCACACTGAAGACTGTAAAGAAGAAAGCAATCAACTCAGTCCTGTCATTGGCTGCAACAGTGGTATTTTTTTTTTTTGTGGTGGTGGTGGTAAAACAGACAAAAAATTTACCATTTTAGCCATTTTTAAGTGTACAGTTCTGTAGTATTAAGTGCATTCACATTGTGCAACCACCACCATTCATCTCAGAATTTCTTCATTTTCCCCAGTAACTCCGTTAAACATAAATTTTCCATTTGCCCCTTCCTCCAGCCCTTGGCAACCATCATTTCTCTGGCTTTATGAATCTGACTGCTCTTGGAATCTCACATAAGAAGAGTCATACCAAAAAAAAAAAAAAAAAAAGAAGAGTCATACCCTATTTGTCCTTTTGGGTCTGGCTCATTTCATGTAGCTACTATCAAGGTTCACCCATGTTTTAAGTGCCAGAACCTCCTTCCTTAATATCACTGAGTAATATTCTGTTCTACATATATACATTTTACTTATCCATATGTTTGTCAACAAACACTTGGGTTGCTTCTACCTTTTGGCTATTGTGAATGATGCTGCTGTGAACATAGGTGCAAAAACATATGATTCCATTCACTCGGGTGCATAACTGGAAACACAAACTGCATCATTTGGTATTTCTATGTGTAATTCCAGTGCTCCCATTCTTACACCCCTAAACTGAAGAATTCAATGAAAACACCAACCAAATAGTTTGTATGTGTTTTAAATAAAGCAGCAGAAAAACACCATCAGATTTCTCCTGCATCACTTCTCACCTCACCTGTTGGGAACACCCTACATCTATGAACCGCCCCAAGATGGCAAGGACTTCTCGGGTAGGCCCTCTGTAGTTCACATCTCAGGCTAAGCTCAGGCTTTCCTGTTGACAGGAAATAGGACCCAGTAAGGTTCAGTGTGTAGAAATGCAGGAGTGATTCCAAACTACACCCAACACTCAGCTCTGTAGCAGCCCACGGGTGTGGAGCCTGGGGTCAAGGTCCGCTAAGTATAAAATCTGAATTTTTCTAAAACCAGTAATGGGAAAACAGGAAGATCAAGGAAGGTGGTGAAATCCCCACTAAGGCCAATGATTGCACAACACATCACTCCCTGAAGCATTTTTTTCCACCTGCTATAACACTAAAAATTAGGAGTGCTTTGTTACTTGAGAATTCACCAATCCCAGAACTTTCCTTTCTTAGAAGTTCTTCCAGGGTTTCTGTCAGAAATTCCTTCTGTTTAAGGGAGCAGGACACTCCAAGGAATTTCAGAACTGGTAGTATTATAACACACCATCAGGCAGAACTGTCCCTCCCAGTAACTAATCAAAACCAGTCAGTGTGCAGTTTGAAGACACCCTGAGTGTATGCAGACATGTGGAGGTCGTGGGTCATATGGTGGTCAATGCTACATGGAAAGCAATTCAGGGTGAAGCAGGTGTGGCTCAAGGGGTTCCTCCAAGAACAGCCCCTTTGGGTGGGGAAGAGGAGGGTCAGAGGACTGTGTGGACCAGCAAAAGGAGCACGGTGACCAAGAATGTCTGACGATAGGATGGGCAGGAAATGGAAGCTCTTTGGCCAGGAGGCAAAACTTAACCTCTCTACTCACTCCCAGTCACCTTTCTTCTGGACTCTGTCCCACTGAAGGACTTGATAATAAAACAGGCTTAAGACATCAACTTGGTTATGTTGCATACTGGGTAGTTTCTGGACATTAAAGGGTCACATATATAGTTTTTCCTTCCCTGGCTCTTCTCAACCTGCGGTGGCAGGTCTTAACCTCAGCAGACTCTATTCTCTTTGCCCACTGCTTTGGTTTCTATACTAGTCAGTTATCCATGGAAAGGGAAGGTTAACAGGTACAGATGTGCGCCTAGGAAGATATTAAGAGGTTTCTGTTTAGCACACTGAGGCTAAACTGCATGAAATTACCTGAGCCTTGCAACAGACTATGATGTAACACATAATCAGGTCATGTACTCTGATCCTTGTCTGCCGCTGTTCCACATGTACAGCCTCCTTGGGAGTCTTCAGGGAGGAGGGATGCAGGAAAATCTGGGTTCTCCAATAACCCCACCTCTAACCCCAGAAGTACGCAAGGATCCAGGCTGAAGATGTGTGCTCCGTTAAATTTCCTAGTCTTTTGTGCACACCTGATGCTGGGCTATTTAGACCTTCACAGCTCTGAAACTCACATATTCTAGATGACATTGCAGAGTACTCCTTAATTATTTGATCTAAGTAAAATTATTTACATTTTATTTTCATGGAAAGATGACAGCAGGGGCTTCCCAGGTGGCTCCGTGGTAAAGAATCCGCCTGCCAATACAAGAGTTTGGCAGGAGACAGGAGTTTGATCCCTGGGTCAGGAAGATTCCTCTGGAGTAGGAAATGGCAACTCCAGTACTTTTGCCTGGAAAATTCCATGGTCAGAGGAGCCTGGCGGGCTACAGTCCAAAGGGTCGCAGAAAGTCAGGCGTGACTAAGCACACATGCCCTCGCAAAGGTGAGAGCAGCAACATGGGCATTCAATAAGTATTTTTTGAATTAGACTAGATCTTAAAAATTCATTAAAGACAAAGATGGAATTTTATTCATGCTATAATGTGAATACCGTTCAACATGTAGGACTTGTTTCTCCCTGCTTAAGCTGAATTTCATTTTGAACATCCAATACGGACAGCATCAAGCTATTTTAATTAAGTAACTTTTCATGTTTATAAAAGTGGCACAAATGTCTCCGAATAGCACTCTAGAGATACTAAATCCACACTCAGCACTTACCTAGCATCAGTCTCTCAAACGTTCCACAGATCTTAATACTATGTCCAATCAGTACAACACGACAGACTACTACCCAACTCCTCCTTGGCCTCGTCTCACAAAACAAGGCCAAGACAGACGGAGTTACAGTCCCTGGGCTCTAGGGAAGGAACCGTGCGGGAACAGGGCAGGCGGGTTTCTGGGTCCTGCCACTGTTTGACTCGCCACCTCTCGTCTTCGGTCTTCCTTCCGGGCGCGACGCGGCTCTTCTGACGGGAGGCAAGATGGCTGCCATCCTTCAGTTATCACAGTACTGTACCTTTAGAACGGACAGCATCAGCACTGTGATAACTGAGCCAGGGCAGCCTGTCAGTCACCGTGCCGCCGGCATCCTTTCCGGCAGGACTCCCTCAGACGGCTCCCCAGGGACTGAAGCACTGAAAGATCCCCTTCTGGAAGGTGGCGAAGCAGAAGAAAAAACAGGGTCACAGCCCAGTAACTGGTGAGGCTGAAACAGTAAAAGGGCTGGCTGAATTATAGTAAGACGAATGACGAACATATGCTTTATACATATTAATGATGAACCAACACGAATACATCAAACAAGCTTTCTGGCTCTATTGGACAATGTTGCCTCTACTGAGCAGGGATTCACTGATTCCATCTTCCTGACCTCAATCATTCATGCAGTAAATATTTACTGAAGGTCTACTGTGTTTCAAGACATCTTCTGGATGTCCAGGAATTGAAGGTAAATAATAAACAGTCCCTACCCTCAAAAGTGCTCATTATCAAACATAGCAATAATACTTCACATCTGCCTAACATGCAATAATTTTCTATGTGCATTCTGCTTTGGCTTTCACAAGAACCCTATGGAATTGTCAATGAATCACTCATTAATTCATCACAAAAAGATTCTGGAATAGGTTAGACATCAGACTATTTTACAGAAAGAGAATAAAAACCTAAGAGAGGTCAGGGACTTCCCTAGCAGTCAAGTAGTTAAGAATCAGTGCTTTCACTGCAGGGCGCACAGGTTCGATCCTCAGTCAGGAAACTTAAGACCTCACATGCTGTGTAGGAAAGCCAAAAAAAGGGGAAAAAAAATAAACCCCGAAAACTGAAGAGAGGTTAGGTGATTTACCTGATCACACCACTGGTTACACTGAACCTGAGTTCAAATCATGTCAAACGATGAAACCTACTGCTCTGCCCTAACCCAGCCAGTCAACTCCATCAAGTGGTTGTTCAGTTTATACAATTTATGCAAACAGAAAGATTCTGGAAACATCTGCTTTCAGGTTAAAATTTTTAGTTTTCTCAGTGTCTCAGGTCATGAAGCAGGAGCTTGTGGGAGTTTTATGATTTAAGAAGTAATACACATTAGCCAAAAAAAAAAAAGACTTATTGTTCTTGCTTTGAGTGCTAAGAATGTACTCAAATTGATGACACTAATGGTGATTACATATTTATATCACACCTATGGGCTGTTTTTCACTATAGTTAATGTCAATTCTACAGTTATGGTAAGAAAGATTGTTAACCTTTGGCACGCCTTCTGAAAAAATCAACATATACACATCACTTGCTCTGAAACTACCTGTTACCTTTAAGATGTACCCTGAAGTCATCTTCAGGGATGATGTACTTTTAATAAAAAGTAAAAAAGATTCTGAAACTGGAATTCAAGCTTCAGAATACTCAACTTATTAAAGCCATGATTCACTCCTTTTTATTTTCTATGTCAGTCATTAAGTTCTCAAGTTATTTCACTTTGACTGGAACTTGACAGATATTTGAAAAATAATTTTGTTTTCAATTAGGTATTTGCTCAGTTTCAAAGACTCCATTATATGCAAATTAGATATCAGCACTGTACTTCAAATAAGTCAAAGAGATGAATCAACTCTTTAGATCAGCAGAGGTCAGAAAATAGTACAGTGAGCCAGCTCAACTGTTAACTTTATGCACTATGAAACTGACTATATATTCAGAAAAGGAATATCCAATGAAATAATCCACCTGCATACAAATTAAAACAACTCTCTAAAGTGCAGAAATATCTAAAAGTTAAAGAAGTCATTGACTAGGTCTTAGCCAACTGACGCAATACAGAGTTGAAACAGGAGAGGGCAATGAAGATTAAAAAAAAAAACCTGGATTCCCTTAACCTAAGGTTACTGGAAATAGTTGCACATTTTCACCCAAATTATAAACATCTGTTATGTGAACAAAGATATTGTGATTATTTGAGAATAAAATTTTAGATAGCTGATACATCAAAGAAGATAAAAAGATTACCAGCTAACATTTCCCAGCCACAGTTCTGGTTCTGTCAGCTTTGGAAAACAAGAAGAATTCCTCTGAGATACTGGAGGGTAGGTAAAGATGGGAACAAATAAATAACTCTGATATACTTATTAGTTATTGGACCATTCTTTGCAAACACTGAGTGGTAGGGCAATTGAATGTCTAAATATGAAGTCAAGTATGAACTTAAAAGTCTATAATGTACTGCAAAGCTGAAATTCACTCTATTAGCCATGACCAAAAATCAGACAACTAAAGATTTCTGGTACAAAAAGTAAAGAGTATTTCCTTTATTTCCTTATTTTTCCTGTCATTTCTTTTTTACCTAAATTGGGTGGAAGGGACAGGGATACAGCAGGGAGCCAAGTGACCAAACAATAATAAAAAGCAAACTGCCATTATACTGTGAATCATTAAATTAATATTTTCTCAGAATAATTCTAAAGCAGTTTCAAGGAAGCAAAAGTACAGGTTTTCAAAATTGTATTTTATAAATACTAATAAACACTTAAAATGTTTTATTTCTCTTGGAAGTTATTTCTTCTACGTGTGCATTTAAAAAAACTAAATCTACCAAAATCATTTGTCAGTAGATACTTCTTTTAAAAAAACAGAATTATTTTAATTTTAAAATAAGTGACAGCAGGTGCTCATGTTATAGTACAAAAGTACACTGCACAGTAAGAGGGAGAAAGAGTAAAATGCTTTCCCCCAAAAAATCAACCTGGTTTTAAACTCAAGTTCTTCTATGATGAAAATGATACAACTGAGAAAAATTTCTTCATGATGCATGCACCATTATCATCTAGAAAGTACTACTGACAAACTAGTATACTAAAAATGTGGTTTTAGACCTTGTGGAACACAAAAAATTTGTCATGTCTCATATCAACAGAATGAAAAGGAAAATACAATGATTTTGAGCAATTAAGTATCTGATTATGTATTAAATAAGTGATGGTACCATGAAATGAGCTGCTAGCATGCAAAATATTTGACAATACTTAAAAACTAAAATAGTTCAAATAGGTTGTTTAATTTAAATCCACCCTTTACTGAAGTGTGATTTTTTTCCTTCCCCAACTTGAAAACTACCATCCAACTTGGTGACATTACAAAATGTGCAAATGTGACCAAGCTGTCAAGATGTAAAAATGTATTGTCAACAGAAGATGCCCAATGTCAACTACTGCTTTGTCAGGAGTACAGAGAACGTGTATTTGCATTTCATGGCAAAGTTTTGCTGTTAAGAGTGTTTAAAAACTTACCTGGTGTCAAGATTAGTAGGAAACCTGGAATGAGGAGGTTACACATTTTTTTCTTTCTTTAGGAGAAATAAATCAGCTAAAACGTCAAGGAAAAGCCAAGGACAACTGCCTGGTGCCAAGTCAGCCCCAATTCTCACAGAGAAGCATTAACTGGGACTAATTACAGAGGGGGTGACATTGTTTTACCCATTCCAAGCACTGGACTCCAAACAGTCATGCTCCATAACCTCAGCAAAAGCTAACACAGGTCTATATTCAATAATGTTGAGACAGAAAGAGGAACAAAATGATGGGGATTTTAGCCCCCAAAGCTCCCAGGAGACTAAGAATCTATAAGCAGCTGGACCATCCTGCTTAATGTTTGATAGAATATAGTATTCTATTCTATGGGCCTTTCCCCTTTACACATGAACTCAGCATACACACTTGTAGTCCAACTGTCAACTTAATTCACTTTTGGATTTTGCTTGAGATTTAATTTTTGCCCCAGATTTTGGATTTCACAGTCTGCTCACAGTCAGCTTTACTTCATTTCATCTTTGTTATCATATTCTTTTAGAATAACCAGTTAGAAATATACCAGCTAACTTCAAAATGATCCACCCCTAGCTAACCATCTCTAAAAACGCTGGTCATCTATTAATCTGTGATTTCCTCCGCACTGCCATTTAGAAATGCTGGGTCTTACTTCTCAAATTCCCATAATTGACAGCTGAAGGGGGGGGGGGGGCATACCAAAGGCATGCACTGACCTCCACTTCTAGAGCCTTGGGCTGGTGCAAAAACACAAGCACACTCCTCTCTTCCGCAGAGTCCACCACTCAGAGCTTCTATTCCTACATCTGGAAAAGGAACACATTTCTACTTGTAACACATGGAAAAGGAATATGTTTCTACTTGTAACACAGAGGTACTGCCCTCATTATGACGTGCTGGATCTTAAACTGTGATTTACTTTGGTTCTGTTTACATCTGATTTCCTCAAGTCTACAGTCTTGTTCCTGAAGTCAGAGACTGTTCTCTTCATGTCCCTTCACAAAATTAATCACAGTCCTTCCCAGAAAGTGCAAGCTCAACAAATACTTGACTGATTCACAGACAAACTCCTTCATTTCTCAGGGATTCTCTAAATAAGTTATCAACAAAAGCATACACTGAATTCCTCGGTCTATATGTCAACAGGCAAGGTACTTGATAGTTTGTCATCTGTAAAATGAGGGGATAGTACTAAACACCCAAGTCTCTTCTAGTGTCTTTACTGAACCTCAATAGATAAAGCCAAACTCCAAAGATATCAACATTCCATTCGGGTCAACATTATACTTTTTTTGAGGAAAGGGGTCAGCAACTTTGTGGGCTTCCCACCAATGGAGCTATGATGTGGGGGCAGAAAGTGAAAGCAGAGAAAGAGAAAATTTTAAAAAGTGTGTGGCATCACTAAGATGTCACCAGGTGTCACAACGGTAGCACCAAGCGCCACACATTCTTCTTTGGTATAGTTTGGTATTCCCAGAAAGCTTTTACAAAAGCAGTTCCGGCCAGATATGTGGGTCTCTAAATTTTCTCATGATACCCCTAACTAGCCCTTCCAATACCCTGTACATTTTTACTGACCTTCCTAAGCGGGGCATTCCTCCTGCAGAGAAATCTGCAGGGCTGTCACTATTAAACTGTACTTGTACTGTATAATACTCTATTGTACTGTAATAGTAACTCTTGGGGGTCCCCAAATCCACATGGAAAATAGCAGGGCAAGTAAATGGTTGACAAATATGAAATAACTGTATTTCCTGCAGTCACCTCCTTGGAAATTAAACCCAAGGAAAAAAAGAGTGATATTACAGACCAGTGCTGTCCCAGATAAGCAAAAAGCAAGTCATGTTTGCAATCTTAGATACTCCAGTAGTCACATTTAAAAAAAAAAAACTAAATTATAAACAGGTTAAATGACATTAACAACATATTCTCTTAAGACAATACACCCAAAATATTTTCACTGGACCATGTAATCAATATAAACATTAATGAGATACTTTACTTTTTTGTACTAAGTCTTCGAAATTCAGGTCATATTTACACTTAACACATCTCAATTCAAACAATAAAATTTCATCAGAAATAATCTGTAGATTTCATAAAATTCACAGCTTAAAAAGTAGACACATACACCCAACTTCCAAAAACTGAACACCAATTTTTAATTTAAAAATCAGTTCCTTATCATCCTAGCTAAATTTCAGGCGCTTGACAGACACACGTAACTAGTGGCTACTGCACTAAGACAGGCACAGGAGATCCTGTCATCTGAATTTTTAAAAAATCAGAACCCTTCACCCAGCAAGTCATTCTACAGCACTCACACGTTACTCAAATGACGCCAGGTATTTTCTGCCCTCCTAATCTTTAAGTTGTTAACACTTCAGTGATGATCACTTATTAAGAAACCCTTTCTAAAGAATGAACAACTCTTTCAGCTCTGAGAATTCAGGGAAAAATAAAAATGGAAACATCATGATTCAAAGATACCAAGTTAACTTTGAAGGTAAAGGTGGAAAATCCTGCCATCGTTATTTCTTTGTCCAGGATATTAGTCACCCTGTAAAAGTTACAGGCCTTGTTTATAGTTAAGCCTCTCAACTTCCATACTTACCCCGGCTGTCACTGCATCCTCAGATTCCTTGTCTTCAAGTGTTCCCTCCAACCCCCCACCAACCTCCTCTCTCTCCAGCAAAATCCCTAAAACACATTCTAGAAGTGAAGTGAAGTCGCTCAGTCGTGTCCGACTCTCTGCGACCTCATGGACTGTAGCCTACCAGGCTCGTCAGTCCAAAGGATTTTCCAGGCAAGAATACTGGAGTGGGTTGCCATTTCCTTCTCCACATTCTAGAAGCCCCTCTTTAATTCATTCCAAAAAGTACTTGCTACTGTTGACATGGTGAAACACATGAATAATTCAATAAACGAATCTCAAACTATTCAATTAATCATTCATCGGCTTAGGTACTCAACTTATCTTGGGAAAAGCTTTTTGAATACACATGGAAAGTATTGCCCGACCCTTCCCCAAAGGAACCAATTACAAACACTGCAGCTTTCTCTCCGAGTGTCAAAGTTCAGTGTTTCTCCTGCAGCTGACTTAAAAGTTGTCTTCTAAAAGGAGCTGGATTCCTAAGGTAGTTCTATTTTGAGCCTTCTTCCTGTTCTGAAGCTAAAGTTGGAAGGGCTTAGGTGGTGATGTCATGGAAGGGAGACTGCTGGCTTTCATCGAAGGGTCTCCTCCAGCAACTCTGGGGGATGCTCATAAAGGGGACCTTAGGGAGAATGTGCACCTCTCGTCGCTTTCTCCCCCTCCTTTCTGAGTCCCAGCTATTCATTAGCCAGCAAGAACGCAAGTTCAAATAAGCGTGCAAACATATTTACATATTTTAATTGTTAAGCATCTCAAAAATGGAAAGACTGAGAATGAAAATGTCTCACACCAGGGAAAAGGGGTGACATCTCTTTTTCCACACCCCCTTACCCACCTAAATATCTATCGTAGGACTAGAGGCAAAAATGGGGAGCAGCTGATAAGAATACAGACTATAAATGCAGGCGGCTTGAAGAGGAAGCTGCTGTTGGGGATACTCAGGCAGAAAGAAGACCCCTGGGTCCCTTCTCTTCCACTCTTTCCTCCTCCCTTTTGGAATGGTTAGATTTAGGGCAGGGTGTGCCTTCTGCTTGGGAGGCGTATTTGGCTCCGGAGAACCAAGAGGGGCCAGGGTGGGGCCCAGAGAAAGAGCGCCAGAAACTGGTTACTCAGGCCAGATTCTGGACTAAGCTCTTAGCGAGAGAATAGAGGGGGCAGATTCCATCGTTAAGACCCCCTGGAGAACGAAGAATGCACACGAAAACCAAGGAGATCACTTCTTTCTGTCTAAACCCTGCAGTTAGTTGCTGGTTGTGAGCTGCAGGTCCAGAGGCAAGAAAAAAATCCCAATACATCTGGAGACAACTTGCAGGGGTGCGTGGGGGGAATGGATGTGGCCAGCGCAATCGGCAGGTGAAAGCAGCACTTTCTGGCCAATTCTGGGACGGGAGGGCTGGTGAACAGCTTTGGGAAAGCTGGTCGGTTTCTCAGCTCACCTCTCCTCCAAAGCGAGGAATTAGCACAGGTGTGGTCCTTCTCCAAGAAGGTGGCAGCTGGCCTGCGGGTAGCTGAGTGAAGGAGAAGAGTCTTCGGAAGGGGGTAAAGCAGAGGTGACGCCCTGGGGTCAGCTACGGCCGGGAGCACGCGATCTTCGCCAACTCCCCTCCCCCTTCTTGAAAAGCGACCGAGACCGGCGTAAATTACAGCCACGCACCCCTCCTTCCCCAATAATGCTTCTAATAAAAGGAACAGCCTCTCATGCCTCCACACACAAAAAACAACTGCAAGCTCCGGTTGATGGAAATAAACAGGTGAGCCCCGAGAGGAAGCGGGAAAAGATCAGGGATGCGAGCACGAACGTGCGAAGAAATCAAGGCTTCCCCGCCCTCCCCGCACACCCCTCCCCTCTCGCCCCGGAGAATCTGCGTGGCAGGTTGTAAGCTAAAAATGCCACTCAGACAGACCCCCCATCTCCCGGCCCCACGCCCATTCTCCCTCCTACCCCGGGGTCCGGCGTCCCGGCCTCGTGGTAGCGACCGGTGCCCGCGCCGCGCGGGGCTCACCCTCGCCCCGGACCGCCGCCGCGGGGACTCCGGTCTTCCTCTCTCCTCCCTCCCTCCTCCTCCTCCTCCGCCTCCTCCTCGCAGACTCCTCCCGCCGGATCCTTCATGTAAACAACATCCAGGCTCTATTTACAGTCGCCGCCGGACAGCAAGGGACCCACGCCAGCTGCCTGGAAGCAGGCGGGGGTGGGGGAAAAGCGAGTGCGCAACATTTACACACACCCGCCCCGCCCCTCCGCGCCACTGCCCCGCCAGGGGGCCGGAGCGGGACACCGGGGGTCTCCCCGCGCCCTCGTTCAACCTGCGCCGCTCCTGACACCCCAACGAGGGCCAGAGGGAAACCGCGGAAATGCCGATGGGCGAGGTCGCCCCCCCGCCCCTCAGGGAAAGAAAAAAAAAAAACACAACAACAAAAACATCCCAACCACAACAAAACCAGCCCAGCAACACCCTCCAAGTGCGTGCGGGGTCCCAGGCCGCCCCGAGCCTCCGCCCCGCCGCCTACCCCGAGGTGGCGAGCTGCGTGCAGTCCCCCGCGGAGGCTGCAGGGCGGGCGCCGGGCAGCGGCACCTGGACCCCCCCTTTCCTTTGTTCTTCCCGCTATTTGCATGAGGATTATCTAATGACGCAGCAAGGATACAACGTGCTCGCCACAACGTGACCGTCGCCATTTTTCTGTTTTTATTCTATCTCTGCCATGTGATAGATGAGGGGGGGTGGGGGTTGGAAAAGAGAGAGAGACTGGATTTAAAAAAAAAAAAAAAAAAACTTCCGGGTCTCTTGACCGGGAAGGGAGAAAAACAAAAGGGAGACGAGACACAACTCCACGGGAAGGATGTGTGTGTTTGTGTGTGTGTTTGCATGTGCGCGCGATTGAGCGCCCTTCCTTCTGCTCGGAGAAGGGAGGCTTCCAGGGCGGACCCGGAGCATCCTCCCACCTAGGGAGCCCTCTGACACCAGTTGGTCCAGATCGACCCCGTCTAGCCGTGGCGGTCGCGGGTTGCGGTCCCACACCCGCAGCCAACGCTCTGCGAAGCTGTCAGCTTGGTCCATTCTGGCCGCCTCCACTTGCTGGTCCACCCCAGAGCTCGTGCTCTCGCTCCCAGGAGGGTTTACCTTTCTGGGTTAGGGGCAAAGAAGTCTCACTAACATGAAGGAAGAAACGATCAAATTTAAAGGCTACCGTATTTCCCAAGTTTTAAAATAGTTTGCTTCCCTGCTGTTGTGCATGACAACCGCGTGGCAACACTAGGCAGAATCTAATTATCAGTTCGAATCTTTCCTTCCTCTCTTTTCTTTACCCTCTTTTCTCTCTCATCCCGAAACGGAACACACCCTTGTGTGGTGTTCCGAGGGGTTTGTCAGGAGGGGCCCGACCTTTCCTTGTGGGTTGACTTATTTAGAAAGAAAACCTTAATAAATGGTCGTTCAGGGTCAGGGAGCATTGTTTAAGAAGACGGTTGCATGGAGCAAGGTGGATTCGCGTTACACTTTTGTCATTCACAGAGGGCGTGATAGTTCATTCTCTCCCAAGTCTCGTGTTCACGGGTTGCTGAAAAAAAGTATTTTGGAACTCTGCCACATTTTTCAGTGAGATATAGAATTTTGTGCTTTTGTTTATTTCCTTTGGGCACTTTCACTTTTGTTTCTCTGGAGTTTCCTTTCTGGTTTCTTGCGCTATTCGCAATTCAGAGCAGAAATGGACTAGAGTGGACAGGGTTCCTTACTTCTCAGGCAAAGACACTGAGGCTCTGAGCAGTGAGGGGAGTTGCTCCAGGTCACACATTTAATTCGAATAATTGAGCCCTGCTCACCTGATGTGTCTGTTAGAGGGGTGGCGATGGAGAGTGGGGGAGGGGGGAGTTAACTTAGCGACGACGTAGAGCAGCAGTTCTGCTTTGTGGAATACGTATCCTAGATATTAAAGATGGAGAACACTGACCAGATCATTCATGTCTTAGGACTGCTGTGAACTGATTGCTTCTTCAAAACCCTTTTCTTGTGCCTTGACGCCTGTTTATCTGTTCATTCAGGTTCTGCTTCACCTTTTCATGGGAGAGTTTGCTATCTCACTGAACAACCCTACATGATTGCTATGAATTCACTTTATTAGAATCACAGAGATGACCACTCCTTTGCCCACCCACTGTGTCCTTTTTATATTTATTTCATGATTCCTTTCACATTTACTGTACAGGACAGCTGATGCACTTCTCTGAGCAAGAGGGCAGGGCCATGCTCCTATTATATCTCCCATGTTTAGCACCCTGTCTGGCAATGATTGAGCATATAAAGGTCTGAAAAGGATTTTTTCCATAATTCCATCCTGACCATTTCTAGGAAATTCCTTCCGTGTTTTTGGTGAAAGCAGAACCCTGGAGGTGCTTTTTTGAGGCTTTCACCTCCACGGACCATTTTTGGGCAGGCTTCTAATTTACAGAGCCAAGCAAATCATTTGCTATCTAGATTTTTAAATTTAGTTATTTTAAAAACTAATTTTATTTATTTATTTGGCTGTGCTGGTTCTCTGCTGCGGGAGCTCTCCTCTAGGTGTGGCAAACGGGGACTTCTCGCTAGTTGTGATGTGCTGGCTTCTCATTGCAGAGCCATGGGGCTCTATGGCCCTGGGACTTCAGTAGGTGCTGCCGGTGGGCTCAGTAGCTGTAGCTCCCAGGCTCCAGAGCAGGGCTCAATAGTTGTGGTACACCAGCTTAGGTGCTCCGAGGCATTTGGGATCTTCTCAGATCAGGGATTGTACCTGTATTGGCAGGCATGTTCATTACCACTGAGTCACCAGTGAAGCCCTCAATTAAAAAAAAAAAAAAAATCAACTCTTATCTCCCTTCTTTTTAATGTATTTGGTTTCTCATCTTCAGATTCTCTCCAATTAATATAATTAATTATGCCAATACTTTGAGTTTTACTTTCATAGAGTGCAAGTTTTGGTGAAGTTCAAACTGATTTTACCCTGTTCAGCCTGGAATTAAATTATCAGAGGCAGCATTCTTTATGAGACTCTGATTCTTCCTGGAACCCAGTGAACTAAGTGAAGAGGCTGGGTTGAGCATGCTGAAGAGGGCTACTGGAAAGATGTCAGCGCCTGGATAAAAAGTGCATATTTGCAACTTTAAAGGACTGGAGAATAGTTAGTGTATGTAATTATATTTACAGCTTGCAGGAAGGTCCAGACTGTCACAAGTGAGCTCAGACGAATCTAGACTAATGAGGTTCCATTGCATATCTGAATATGAACACGTATTCATTTGGACAGGATAGAGAAGTTGGGTGTTACTGATTGTAACATCTAAAGTTCGTATGTTTCAATGGGTGCTTCTGTATTTAGAATGGATAACCAACAAAGGCCTACTGTATAGCACAGGAAACTCTGCTCGATGTTATGTAGTAGCCTCAGTGGGAGGAGAGTTTGGGGGAGAATGGATACAGGTGTATGGATGGCTGAATCCCTTTGCTGTTCGCCTGAAACTATCACAACATTGTTAATCACCTATGTGTGCCTGTGTGCTCAGTTGTGATCAACTCTTTGTGGCGCCATGGACTATATCTGCCAGGCTCCTCTGTCCATGGGATTTTCTGTGCGAGAATACTGGAGTGGGTTGCCATTTCCTCTTCCAGGAGATCTCCCCCACCTAGAGATTTAATCTGCATCTCTTGGTCTCCTGCATTAGCAGGTGGATTCTTTACCAACTGGGTTGCCTGGAAATCCCTTAATTGGCTATACCCCAATACAAAATAAAAAGTTTAAAAAAATAATAAAGTTTATATGTTTCATCCCAGATAATATGTGTGATAATAATTTTAAGGGCAACAGTATCAACTTCTAGCAAGGTGAAGGTAAAGCTTAATTACATGTAAAGTCACATGCTCACTTAAATACAAAGCTAAACAGAGGAAAAAGAAGCACAGCTCAAGAACATAAGAAATACCTCTATGTCTCTTGTCTTCCATATCTGTATGCTCACATCATTATATTCTTTATCAATCTTAAATCCTCTGGGATACTACATAGCTGCTGATTAAAGAGAGCTCTTTAAAGGCACTCCAACAATGTTCTTTCATTTCTCTAAATACACACTTGAAAAATGACAATTCTTGGTGTGTGAGATGAACTTTGGAATCGGGTACTAATCTCAGCTCTGCCAATCTATTAGCTGTGTCATCCTGGGTAAATTATTCATCAGTTCTGATTATCTATTTGTTTACATATAAATTGACAGTTACAACACCTACCTCAAAGAGGAGTTTTAAGATTGAAACTTAATCAAAATGTAATAAAATATATGCAAAGACCTCACATGGTACTTAGAACAGAATTTTTAATAACAAGTATCTGTAATAATTTTGTTATTGTATTTGTATTTACCCAATGCACTTTTTAGAATTATTCCATCCCATTTGGCTTCTTGCTTTTGGCCCTTCAACAAACCTGCTATTGATGAAAGTTCTGTGACGATGAAGGTAAATAAGTCCTGCTTTCAGGTTCACACTTCAGCCTTGGAAAAGATCCATATGCCAGTAACTATCCTGATACTGGAGAACTGAAGACAAATACTTGGTTCATACCACTTTATGATGATCTACCTGAGAAATATTTAATTAAGATGCAATTTATTAATACCCAGGCAATGACAATACTCGTGGAAGCAGTTAGGAAGATGCCAAAAAACAAAAACAAAAACCCAAAACAAAAACTTCTCAAAAGAAAACTCCACACATCTTCACATAAATGAGGAAGATTACTTTTAAAACTCCATCTAATCAGCATCATTCTGCAGATTTTGAAAAGCTTTCTGGTCCAGTAGAAAAGGCAGGCTTCTTTTGCATTCATGTGAAAAATATGTCAGGTTGTGCCTTTGAAGAAATGTTAGACAAATGTAGTTAATAGGAAGCACTTCTAGTTGTTAATTAATTAGATCACTCTAATCAAGAACTATTTTCTGAGAAACTTATTCCCAGCCTTGGGTCAGATGCTAAAGAAACAAATATGGTGAAGATAGACTTTGCCCTTTAGAAAGTCATTCAACAAGTGTTTATTGATTACCTATGGGATAATCAATGGTGAGCAAGACATGAGCTAACTAGTGGGAGACTGATATATATACATATCTTTCCAGCCTCCTCAAGAAGGATGTGACAGATACAGGGTTTGAGAAAGATAAAAAATATATTCCCTGCCCCACTTCCAAAGGTTTTTTAATTCCTTGAAACAAAGAGCAGCTCTGGAAAGAATACATTGGTCTCTGTAGTCCGTGAAAACCTGGAAATCTCGCTAGCATTAAGGAGAATTGTGAAGTGAGTCAAGTTATTTTCAATTCTCAAATCCAGGCTATTTAAACAGCTTTCTGGTCTCTCAGTTCCTATCTTTCTGAACTATTTTATTATTCAAAGGACTACTATAGTGGTGATTCTAAAATATGAATCCAATTATATTATTCCCATGCTTAAATTTTTTCTTGGCCTCCTATTATCCACCAAGCATGGCACACAGAATTCTTTAAGATCTTGTTCTGTCAAGCCTTCTAGCCTCCTCCTCTCTAAGACCCACATGTAGAGGTACCAGATTTAGCAAATAAAAATACCGTCTGCCCAGTTAAATTTATATTTCAGATAAACAACAATTTTCAGTATAAATGTGCCTCCAATATTACAAAAGACACTCTTACATTAAAATATTCATTGTCTATCTGAAATCCAGATTTCAGTGAGACATC